ATCCGCTCAACAAAGCTACATCTTTTTTACTGCTCCAGAGATGAATTTTTCGAGTCTAATTAAGTATGCGGTTTCAGCCGGCTCGGATTCGTAAGGGCGGGACTTGAATTGGGGCTTGGGCGATACATTCATGGTTTTCACTTGACGTCACCAAAATTTAAACCAAAGAATTATCGATTCTTTTGAGTTTCTACTTTCATGAGGTATTACAGCAGCTAAACAACTTTATTTATAGGACGGTTCTGCAAAGGGCCAGACCTTTGCCTGGCTCGGATGACCACATAAAATGGCGGTCTCGTCTCCCGTAGAAGACGTAACCAATTAGTACTTTTGTGCTATATATATTGAGATTTTAAAATGTGAGTGTATTTTTTTCCTTTGGTTGGCAGTGAGAGCTTATTTGACCCAAAAATCTAATTCGCTCAGTGAATCAGTCAATTATGAGATGGGTGAATGATCCTGATCCGCATTAATGAATTCATGGTGCTATACGATTACGAACGGAGTACGCGGCATCTCTTTATGGCGAAGAATTTTTCACAACACTCCCGCGCCTCTGTCGAACGCGTCACTGGTTGCTAAGGAAACGCCAGTCGGGGGCCGGCAGAGGTCTCTCTCCTTCTTCTCAATTTTCTCTCGCCGTGAGAGACCTTTGTTACCAGGAAAAAAGACGACTATGGAAACGAGGAAATAGAAAGCAACAGGTTTAATAAGCAAAACAAAAACTCTCAACGTGTGCAGCACACTTTTCGTGGCAGATTTCGTTGCCGTAATCGAAACAACTGAAATTGTCAAACTTGATCGGGAACAGCAATGCGATCGTCGTATTGCGTAAACTTGAAAATGTGCGATCAACCTTTTTACCATGATATATAAAAATCAGTTTTAGTTACGTATATCAAAACCATCTAGCGTTTCGGCAATTGCAAGTTAGTGCAATAAGATGAAGTCATTTCCGGTACATATTGAAATCAAATAATATGTTCCTGTTCCCTTTTATGTAAATTATTTACCTTCTAGTTATGTGGTCAACTACAGTTCAATAAAGTTCGAACCATGTTATAAAAACAGCCTGTCTTCGATAAATGGGTTTGTCAAATGGTCTAAAGGAAGAGCATGAAGCTCTTTTTTCACGAAAACTTATATGTGTAAAAAAGCAGGATTTTACATAAAAAGGCAGCTTTCCTACCAAAATATATTTTGTAAAAAAACAGCTACTTTACAAAAATATATTTCTGTAAAAAAGTCTTTTTTTACAACCGTTCAATTTGTTTAAAAAAAACAGGACTTTTACATAAAAAAGCAGCTTTTTTACAAAAGTATATTTCTGTAAAAAAGCAGTTTTTTTACAACCGTTCAATTTGTAAAAAAGTAAGATTTTTGCATAAAAAAGCAGCTTTTTTACAAAAATATATTTCTGTAAAAAAGCAGGTTTTTTACAACTATATTTTTGTAAGAAAGTGGGCTTTTTACATTAAAAAAGCAGTTTTTTTACAAAAATATATTTTTTGTAAAAAAGCAGTATTTTTACAACCGTTCAATTTGTAAAAAAAAAAAAGCTTTTCTACATAAAAGTGACGCTTTTTTACAAGGACCGTTTTTTAATGCAACATATATATATATATCATATATATTTGATTTTTGGGTTAAAACGTAATTGGTTCGTGACTTTAAATAATGCAATAACATTCGATTTTTGTCATGTTATGATGATAAAGCACTTTTATATAATTAAGTGCTCCGGTGCGTAAAACCACGATTAAAAGCGAATTATCCCTCTTACTGTGCTCTGAAAAATCCCTTTTTATTAAACTGTTTCTTTTTATTAATTATACTCTGGCTGCGAGGTGAGCTGAGGTGTGAAACCACGATTTTGACCCTTAAGAAAATGACAGTGTGAGAAATCGGCATCAGAGCACTTATTATTACCTAGGAAATTAAAATGCATGCATGTTTACGCCCGTTCTTCAAATGCAAACAAAGCAAGAGGTTATTTTTAGTGCGAATAAAGGGGGCTCCTGCGTAGCGTTTGTGTGTGTTAAAAGTGGGAAGGTGGTAAGTTACACGCTGGTAATTGCAAATAAAACTCCAATAAAACAATAACATAAAAAAACAATGGTCGCCTTGAGAATGCCTGGGGCCAACAACAGAACGGAATATTTTAAATCGATTGTATAAACTTAATATCCCTGAAAAAGTGGGATATTGTTTGTAGTGGTAGAGGAAACAAGTTGACTGCTTCAGAGTCTGGGCTGATAAAAGTGAACGAGGCAGAACATGAGTGACGCCACGATAGAGAGTCCAAGTCGTGAAAATGACCGGCGAATACTGATCATGTTAACTGTCTTCATCTGCCTTGTTGCCGTTGTCATTTTGGTTATTGCTGCTATAATGTTATCATTGATAATATCTCGAAATGATGATGTTGATGATGATGCTAAAGGATCAAAACTTGACGCCGTGGTGCAGGGTAAGCAAACGTTACAACTTTTTAAAAGTCCGGCTGTCTACTCGTAAAACCCTCGACTAGCGATTAAAAGCTTCTAAGCTTGCACTGTCATGTCTTGGTGTAGTCCGCTCTTAGAACTTTTTTAAGAGCCCGTCCACTTGTTTTGCAGCAGATGTCTCAGCTAGGGTAAGTATAAATGACAAATTTGTTTCCCGGGGAATTTTAAGTTTTGTTTTTATTTTTGCATTCCTGTTTCGGCAGGGGCACCCAACGACTGTTTTCTGTAAAATATCTGTTCGCAGAAGCAAATATTGCCTAGAACATTCTATTGCTTGAATACGGCTAAAAATTTATAGAAGAGCGTTCCATTCAGGTACAATTTTCGAAGCTTATCTAAAAAATTCCATACTATTTTCTGAAGTGTAATTTTTCATCTTTTACACCTTATGTTAGGCTAATTTTCGTAGAAAAAGAAAAACCGAAAATTTTCGGATTCAAAAATGAGATGGAAAGAAGAAGAAGAAAAATTCTCACCGAGTTCGTAAAACGTTCAACTGCATCTAAAATTTTCGGAAAAATAACCGTGAAGCCCGTGATCATCGGAATAGCAATGCGATCGTCGTATTGCGTAAACTTGAAAATGTGCGATCAACGTTTTTACCATGATATATCAACAACAACAATGAACAACAACAAACAATAATAAACAGCTAAGTTTAAGGAAATGCAGATATGATAGAACGGTAGAATTAACTATGTTTCTTTCGTCTTTCAAATGCTTGAAAGATGAAATTAGCAGCTAGCCTGCTGATATGTGAATCAGTATTGTTAAAAAGAAAACAGACTTTATCATGGATATTGTAATGTGTAAATAATGTATTTCGACGTCGTTGATTTTAATAAAAAGAGTCTTTCTCAAATCATCGTATTGATGACAGTGAAATAATATGTGCAGTTCATTTTCAACCGAATTTTGGTTGCAATGATCACAGATTCTAAGGTCTTCAGGAGTTTTGGGGATTGTAAATCTTCCAGTTTGTATTTTTAAATTATGATTTCCTATCTTAAATTTGGAAACTACACGCCTATGTTCAGGATTCCGGATATGAGTGATGAATTCAGAGTGATTTGTTTCATTTTTAAAGATGGAGTAGAATTTTAGTTTTTTATTGGTTCTTATCAAAGTTAGCTGGTGGTTTTTCAGATGTTTTGACAAATTATTCTCAGCTTTGGATAGAAAAGTAGAAGGGTTTTGAAAGTTAACTGACTGTTTATGAATATTAAGTTGTGTACTCAAAAGATTTATTTTATTTATTAGACCTGATTTATTTTCTTTGGCCATTTTATCCGATATGTTTAAGCAGAGTTTACCGATGCTGTCAGGGGGTTGATTTTCAAGGTGAATCCAAAACTTGAAAATGTTCATTGTTATTTGTAAATTTAGAGATAATCTACCAAGTTCATTTCTCGATGCAACATTCGGTGAACGTTTGTTTAAACCTAAACACATCTTACAAAAATGTATATGCGTTTTCTCAATCGAGTCTTTATCCCAGCGGCTATAATCACTTTTATCATAGATTCCCCAAACTTCAGAGCAATACGTTAAAATTGGCAAAAATAGTGTATTGAACAGTTTGTTGATGATGTGAATTGGTAATTTTAGAAAATCTAGATAACGACGAGCGGCAAAAAAGGATCTCTTTGTTTTTTCTGTTAACTTTTCCTTGTGATTTGTAAATTTCCATCATAAAAATATAAAAAATCAGTTTTAGTTACGTATATCAAAACCATCTAGTCATTTCCGGTACACGTTGAAATCAATTAATATGTTCCTGTTCCCTTTTATGTAAATTATTTACCTTCTAGTTATGTGGTCAACTACAGTTCAATAAAGTTCGAACCATGTTATAAAAACAGCCTGTCTTCGATAAATGGGTTTGTCAAATGGTCTAAAGGAAGAGCATCAAGCTTAAGCTCTTTTTTCGCAAAAATTTATATGTGTAAAAAAGCAGGATTTTTACATAAAAAGGCAGCTTTCCTACCAAAATATATTTTGTAAAAAAACAGCTAGTTTACAAAAATATATTTCTGTAAAAAAGTCTTTTTTTACAACCGTTCAATTTGTTAAAAAAACAGGATTTTTACGTAAAAAAGCAACTTTTTTACAAAAGTATATTTCTGTAAAAAAGCAGTTTTTTTACAACCGTTCAGTTTATTGTAAAATTACCGTAAGCTTACAAGATTGCTCCTAATTACAAAACACCCTGTGATGAAACAAAAACCCCCAAAGCAACTAAGTACGACACCGCCAGATACGAAAACTCAAAACTACTTTGTGGAAAAAAGGAATCATGTATGAAGATAAAACAAAAACAAATCCAAACAAACATTGCATTTTGCCTACACTACTCAGAGAGACACCCACCCAGCATTTATTCTTCATGTTGGGTGGGTGTCTTTCTGGGTAGTGTAGGCAAAATGCAATATTTTTTTGGATTTGTTTTTGTTTTATCTTCATACATGATCCCTTCAGATATGAACGAGTGGTGATATTAACGAGTGTACCACTAAGGTCCGTAACTGTGATGCAAATGCTTTCTGTGATAACACTGAGGGATCTTACAACTGCGCATGCTGCCCTGGATATACTGGAAATGGAATATCATGCGCCGATAAATTATCAAGGCATTTGCTATTAAAACTGGAGGGAACAGGGGGGCGTAAATTATGTCGCTGCTCCGTTATAAGTTTGGGTTTGTTTTGGTTTGTCTTAACATCTTAGGTTGCTAAACACAATTTCTCTAAATCTGATTTATCCCTTTACTGTGTATTTTAACATCTTTATCATTATATAAAGAGAAAGAGGGAGGAAAGGCTGATAAAAAGTTTTAACAGAAAATAATGTTTTTGTGGCCTTTGACATATCACGTGACCTCAGCGCGGGTCTGTTAAACTAGAGCTGAACATGCGTACGTGAGAGCCTTTGTTTTGTGGACTTTCATAAGCAATGTAAATAAACTACAATATCTTTAAATCTACTCATTAAAATATGACGAATGCCACGCCCAAGCCAATGAAAGCGTCAAAATATCTTTTCAGCAAAGGAGTTTTGTGACAAAATCAAGATTTCCATAAAGGCTATTTTCTTGAAGATTTTAAAAAACTGTTCGTTACAATTTTGGTCAAGTGGTTTCTAAAAGATGGGGGTTACTAATCGAAAGCTGTGTTCAATTTTCTAAGAAAATCCAATGACTGAATTTTGCTTAAACCTAATAAATTGAAATTTTTTGGCTTGTTGTCAAACTTCCATGTTGCCATGGCAACGATCCAAGTCCCACTTTTAACCTAATAAATGTCATGTCTGATAAATATAGATTGATTGTGCTGAATCAAAATTTTAGCGTTATACCCGCAATGAGTCTTAAATAAAACCCCAATAATTGGTTATGATCCACAACCTATCAAACTGTGTTCAGGCACCTTAATTCTCTCCTTTCAGATATTAACGAGTGTACAGCCAACGTCCATAACTGTGATGACAATGCTTTCTGTAATAACACTGAGGGATCTTATAAATGCACGTGTAGCCCTGGGTACGATGGAAATGGAACATCTTGCACCGGTAAATTATCATGACCAATACATTTTTCACAAAAAAAAAAAAGCAATGTATGTATTTTAACTCTTTGATTTTTTTTTTCTATTTCATTTCATTTCAAGTTTTCTTTTTCTTTTTTTGTTTGGCTTTTGTTTTTTTTTTTGATTTTTTTTTTTTTTTTTGGGAGGGGGGGCTAAAATCGTTTGGGCTGCAGTATTTGAATTACGTTTCGTCAAGAGCCATTATGACTCTTGGTTTCGTTGATCCGTTTTAACCGCGTCATCTTTAATACTTTCTTGATAATTCTTTCCTTTCAGATATTAAGGAGTGTACCACTAACGTCCATAACTGTGATGCCAATGCTTTCTGCAATAACACTCAGGGGTCTTATAACTGCACATGTAGCCCTGGATACACTGGAAATGGAACATCATGCATAGGTAAATCATCCTGCCTAATGCACGTAAAATTATTTTGGCGAGGTCCAAGAAAGAAGCAGTACCCCATAAATGCATTAATTAATTCTCCAAACTTATCTCTCTCAAACTGTGTTCAGGCGCTTTAATTCTCTCCTTTCGGATATTAACGAGTGTACAGCCAACGTCCATAACTGTGATGCCAATGCTTTCTGCAATAACACTCAGGGGTTTTATAACTGCACATGCAGCCCTGGATACACTGGAAATGGAACATCATGCATCGGTAAATTATCCTGCCTAATGTATGTAAAATTATTTTAGTTAGGTTCAAGAAAGAAGCAGTACCCCATAAATTCATTAAGTAATTCTCCAAACATATCTCTCTTAAACTGTGTTCAGGCACCTTAATTCTCTCCTTTCAGATATTAACGAGTGTACAGCCAACGTCCATAACTGTAATGACAATGCTTTCTGTAGTAACACTGAGGGATCTTATAAATGCACGTGTAGCCCTGGGTACGATGGAAATGGAACATCTTGCACCGGTAAATTATCATGACCAATACATTTTTCACAAAAAAAAAAGCAATGTATGTATTTTAACTCTTTGATTTTTTTTATTTCACTTCATTTCAAGTTTTCTTTTTCTTTTTTTGTTGTGCTTTTGTTTTTGTTTTTGCTTTTTTGGGGGGTGGGGGAGCTTAAAATCGTTTGGGCTGCAGTATTTGAATTATGTTTCGTTAAGAGCCATTATGGCTCTTGGTTTCGTTGATCCGTTTTGCCCGCATCATCTTTAATATACTTTCTTGATAATTCTTTCCTTTCAGATATTAAGGAGTGTACCACTAACGTCCATAACTGTGATGCCAATGCTTTCTGCAATAACACTCAGGGGTCTTATAACTGCACATGTAGCCCTGGATACACTGGAAATGGAACATCATGCATCGGTAAATCATCCTGCCTAATGCATGTAAAAACATTTTGGCGAGGTCCAAGAAAGAAGCAGTACCCCATAAATGCATTAAGTAATTCTCCAAACGTATCTCTCAGCGTACTTATAGAAGCCGGTCTGATAAATTACGAGCTTTTTCTTGGAAAAGGCACCCTGTTGTTTGATTCTTGCATGTAAGCGGCCACCTCCCGTATGAGACCACCAATACACGTCGCATTTTGTTTGGTCGATTAGAATACGAGAGGCTTGACTGTATGTTGTGTTGTCCGAAAGAGAAGAACCTCATACGTAGAAAGCTTCCCTATCCAAGGCTTATTATTTTATTCATAGGCGTCATTCTGCTGAAAATAAGGGTTTTTACCTTCCTTTTAGATATAATGAGTGCACGTCTAAGGTCCATAACTGTGATAATGCCAATGCGTTTTGTATTACTTTCCTTTCAGATATCAATGAGTGTACGACTAACGTCCATAAATGTGATGCCAATGCTTTCTGCAATAACACTGATGGATCATATAACTGCACATGCAGCCCTGGATTCACTGGAAATGGAACAGCATGCACCGGTATGTCATTACCATCAATACTTGTAAAACTATATTATGAGGTCTGAGAAAGAAGCATCCCATACATAGAGTGCTTCTCTCCATATTACCTTAGGGAGGATTTCCAATGTCGCGTAATTTTTACGCGCCGGTGCGTAAAATTTACGTTCGCAAATAAAATAGAGGCAATGCATAAAAGGTCGCACGCAAACGTAAAAGTTGAACTTCGCTCAACTTCAAATTTAAGCTCGACACTTTGTACCTTGCCTCTATTTTATTTACTCGAGTAAACTGGGCTGCAGTATTTGAATTATGTTTCGTCAAGAACCATTATGGCTCTTGGTTTCTTTGATCCGTTTTGCCCGCATCATCTTTAATACTTTCTTAATAATGCTTTCCTTTCAGATATTAACGAGTGTACCACTAACGTCCATAACTGTGATGCCAATGCTTTCTGTAGTAACTCTGAGGGATCTTATAACTGCAGATGCAGCCCTGGATACACTGGAAATGGAACATCATGCACCGGTATATATATTATTTGTTTATTATTAAAAACCAAGCTAACAAAACTCCTGATGCCCGTTTGGATTTTCATGCTCGAGGTTTTTGGCAGAGACAGAGATCTGCATTCTTCGACGTTCGGGTGTGTCACTCTAATGCAGACTCTATGTATGCGAAAAGAGTAATGGAGATCGAACAGGGAACGTTCACTCCCGTAGTTTTCACGACCACAGGTGGAAAGGCGGATGAGTGTGTTAAGTACCACAGCAGACTTGCGGAGCTGATCGCAAGTAAGAAGGGAGAAAGTTACTCAAGCGCAATTTCCTGGATAAGAGCTAAAGTATCTTTCGCCATCGTACACTCTGCAATACTATGCTTGAGAGGCTCAAGATCCAGAAGAAGACAGCTAGACTTTGTTGACTCAGACCTACAGATCGATAATATTAGAGCCTGCCCGAATTAATCTTTTTTGTTTTGTTTTGTTTTTTTAAGGATCTTTTTCTAAAGAATTAGGAATTTTAGGAATACGAGATTTTATTTTTTTAAAATTTGTTTTCTTTTTTTATCACAGACGGAAAATTCTCTTTTGTAATGACTTAATTTAAAATTCTGGACTGCCTGCAAGAGTCATTGACCGCATCTGAGCCACAAGGAATGTATTGGCGAAATCGTTATTGACAAAGCGATTGCTATTTTTATGATTTATATAATTCTTTACGTTATATAGTGCTTAATTCTTACTTCAATATTTCTGTAAATTATGTGCATATTTCTGTTGCTAAAGTTCAATAAAATTATTATTATTATTATCATTATTATTATAAACGGAGTGACAAACGGAGCCCCTTCCTAATGATCTGCGTCAGCTCGTTACTTTGACACCCGCTCAAGGAGGGCTAGGCGTACCCGACTTACGGTTTGAGGCTCCACAGCAGTTTGCTGATTCTACGTCAATAACTGTCGCACGTAGATTCTGGCGAGAATTCCACGGCAGAGTTAAAAAGACAACATCAAGCCTTGAAAATTGCGTCGATGAAATCCAGAAGGGAAAGTATTGATTCCACTCTACCCTCGGATCTGCTGCGGTCAGTTAACCAATCGAGAGACAAAGGTGCGAGCTCATGGCTTAGCGCAGCACCTCTTGTCGATCAAGGTTTAGTGCTGAATGAAAAGAATTCAGAGACTCTCTACGTTTAAGGTATAATATGCCCCTGACCGACTTGTGGTGAGAAGTATGCCATCTGCCATGCCCTGTCATGCAAAATTTCATGTCAAATTCTGCCACTCATCTGTTTCTAGTAACGTAACAGTAGCCTTTTTCCCCCTCCTTTTAGATATTAACGAGTGTGCGACTAACGCTCATAACTGTGATGCCAATGCTGTCTGTAATAACACTGAGGGCTCTTATAACTGCACATGCAGCACTGGATACACTGGAAATGGAACATCATGCGCCGGTATATATATTATACTTACACTGATATGCTCCCGCTCTTGCAAATGTTTACGTAAGAGATCCGAGTGAAACAGTTAGTTTTGTTTTCCCGAAAGTCCTGATGTTTCCCGAGACGAAGTCGAGGTACTCGAGGGAAAACAAAACTAACTGGTTTCCCCAGGGACCTGACATTAAGTGTTTTGTTATATTTCTGGACTTTCACTTCAACAGCAACAAAAGAATAACCGGAGAGAACCAAAACAGTCGACTCGGCACTTATAAGAACACAAATTTAATTCTCAAAACCACTGAATGAATGATTTACAAAGTACTTTCCTTATATTATCTGCATCTTTTTCCTGCACTAGCTACTGTTTCTCTTCTGGGATATATAACTTTGAAAATCGTTTTTAGCTTGAGGCTTCCTGGTTGTGTTGTTGTGTTCATCCACGAAAAGAAAAACTGACAGTGTTTTTCCCGCCTTCTGTCACGCCACTTTCCACCATGCCTTGATCACGTGCTGTAATCATGTACCCCGAGCGGGGTACATTGCTTAATGTATCACGATCGGGATACATTTGATTTTAGTCAAGGCCACTTGACCAAGAATCATCTAATGGCAGTCCCTGTTTAGTTGAGTGAAAGTCTAGGAATATAGCAATTATTACTATTTAACAATTAATGAATGAGGCTGAGTATCTTATGAAGAATTATGGAGATCGAGGAGGGTGTTATCCGTCGAGGCCGTAGGCCGAGGCGGATAACACCCTCCTCGATCTCCATAATTCTTCATATGATATGAAAGCCGAATTCAATAATTGTTTCATTATTCATTCAAAAAAATTCCTAGTTTAAAAAAATAGCTAAAACATGCTTAACTCCATCGATCCATCGATGTTAAGTTCATCTACGATGGTGCACGTTTAGGGTTGTTCAGCCCCGCAAAGATTCTCCAAATAGCAGATGTCGCCCTTCGAGTTGTCTTCTTGCTGTTCTTGGCATGTTTTTAGCCATTATTTTGCCTAGTTCTTACTCTTGAAACGAGTGAAATGTCCGCCATTTTTGTTTCCACAACCAAAACAACTCAACCTCGTCCCCAGGCCTTCTCGGTTAACGGTGCTTTAACCACCAAAAACGCTGCATTTTTGACGTCATTTCCTCGCTAAACACAAAATTCTTCCAAATTTGGTCATCAGTAACTAGTTAAGGTGAATTAAAGGTGTGCTTTTAGCCAATCAGAATCGGGGAAATATTTTGAATGAATAATAATACGCATTAAACATATTATTATTAAACATATTCCTACAACTAATTTCTCTCGGTGGCTTTACTCGACCATAAAACGAGGAGGTTTTATCGAAAGTGAATAGAGGAAGAATTATGAGAGAGCCGTTTTTTTTTTTGGACGCGAACCTGATGACTTCCGTATTTGAAGGAGCTTGACAATCTGGCTTGTTTTGACTTCGGGTTTGTTTTAATTTTCTAGTGCCTTTTATCAGGAATTTTACAACAAATGGAACCACGGGGCGACAAGGGATTATTCAAACATTCATGGTTCCGCACACTGGTGTATATCTGATAAAGGCCTGGGGTGCCCGAGGAGGAACACACTCGACAAACTACGGTTATTTTCCTGGAACGTTCTATGGTGGTAGAGGGGCAAGGATGCAAGGAACGTTTACCTTGAATAAAGGAACTGTACTGAATATTGTGGTGGGACAACGCGGAGGAGATTCAGTGGAGGTAAGAGGTGGACAGTCCACTAACTTGACAGCTGCTCAGCTGGGACTGTCTGTAGAGGACAATGCTGGAACTGGGGGAGGCGGAGGGAGCTTTGTTTATACAACAAGTAACGTGCTTTTGTTAGCTGCCGGAGGAGGAGGGAGTGCATCTAGCGGGTATCACGGGGTGGATGGTCAGGCGTGTACTAGCGGCACCAGTAGCGTTGGAAGATTTTTAAGTGCTGTTCGTAGCGGAGGAACTGGAGGGAATCCTGGTCAGTGTAACAGTATAGGCGCTAGTTGGCATGGGGGAGTAGGTGCGGGATGGTTAGGCCAAGGTTGTTCCAGGAACGGGTCCGAGCATGGTGAAAGAGGCGGGTCACGTGCTCAGGGCTGGGTAGGTGGACGTGCTGGAGAAATGAATAGTGGCTACAACGGAGGGCCTCCCCCTGGGGCTGTAGGAGGATTTGGCGGTGGCGGTGGCGGATCGGAAGATAATGGTGCACAAAGGCATCAGGAGGAGGTGGTGGATACTCTGGGGGAGGTAGCGGCACATACCCAAACCAAGCAGGAGGGGGAGGGGGCTCTTACTGTAGTGGCTCAACTTGTTCAGGCGTGACTGGGGGTAATTCAGATGACAATGGACTTGTACAAATCGTACAATTGGCTGTCTAAACCTGGCTTATGAGAAAATGATTTAACTTCCGTTGTTAGTTTGTTACTCATTATTATTTACATATTTCTTTACACAAACTATCTACAATCGTGGACAACAGTCTTGGGATTCATTTGCATTTGTGGGGCTCTCCTTAAATCACACATACTTAAACCCTCCCCTACCCCACAAACAAGGTTGGGCGCGTGTATCCAAATTTCTCCCGAGTTTCAACTTTTTTATAGGGTGGTAGGAGGATATGAGATATTTGCAAAAAGGTTGCACTGTTTTATGAGAGCACCCAGAAATTACAGAAAAACACGAATACTGCATTACTGCCCCAAGGACGTTTGTCCAGTATTGTAGTAGGCATCCACTGCTGCACACATAATATACAGTACCGCATATTCGTGACAAATGATCATTGTGGTTACAGCGGTTTTGTGCAGACTTGCCTTATTAAACGGACAACAAATTGAACAGGAATACACCGAATTGAATAAATTGTCCGTTGCATATAAAGCACTAAACTACAGTGTATACCTCGAGCTATGTTTCAGGGCACCCAACAACTGTTTTCTGTAAAATATTTCTTCGGAGAAGCAAATATTGCCTAGAATTGTCTATTACTTAGGGACGTCTACAAATTTTCAGATGACCGTTCCATTCATGTGCACCTCCCAGGTTAGGCTATTTTTCGTACAAAAAGGAAACCCAAAATTTTCCAACTAAAAAATGTGATCGAAAGAGGAATCAGAAAGATTCTTACTTTCGGAAAACGTTAAATTGGATCGAAAAGACTCAAGTTCCCCTAGGATGACCGAACAGGTACAAAATTTATTGCGCCGCTTAGAATGCATTTCTAGAGATCTAAAAGTACTCGGGATTTCCTATAGCGTGTTTTCAATGTAGTTAGGAGGAAACCGTCGTTGGGTACCCCTGTTGTTTGCTCGCTATCACGAATCGTATAATTTTAGTGCAAAATCCCCGAATGAGAGCACTCGATTATGTAAAAGGTTTTTAAAAGTTTAAAACCAGTAAAGGAGTGTACCCGCAACCCTGTTATTCTGGACTCCGCAATAACGGGAGTTTCCAGTCAGAAGTACTTCCAGACTGCTTGTGACCCGATGTCCACATATGAGTGCAAACTTAATAGTTGCAGCCATTGATTTGTCACAATTGTTTTTTAAGATCATCTTCTTTTGTCAAGTGAATATTTCTTGACAAAGCCAGTTGATAGTGGAGCTTGTTAAACAAAGGTGTTTTTTGTTCTTTGGTCCATCATGGTAAAAACGTCCGGTTTCAAAAAATCCAGTCGGATATGCAGACAAAGAATTCATGACACACAGAACGTTTAACTGTACCAATGTAATCTATTTTCAATGAAATTTCCAGTTCCAAATTCAATTTAAATTCTAAATATTATCACTTAGGAAGTTGAAACGCCATGTTTACGCCCGTTCCTTGCCGTATTCTTGCGTATTCTTGGATTTCTTCCGTTCAGTTTTAGTCAGAATTTCAGCTATTTCGTCTTCGGTTAGCCGTGCGAACGATTTTTTTCATTTCATTTCATTTGTTGGCTTATTCAGATACTTACAATAATTTTATTTTCTCACTGCCCATAAACGGCAAAAGCTGGTCTAGGTGGGCATGCGCAGTGTCTATATAAAACAAACTACGCACTCCAAATGGTATATTAAATTAACAGGTCAACTAAAGTTTTTTAAGCTGATATAAATATATTAAGTGCTGAAATCATGTTTTTTTAGGAGGCTACTTCAATGCTAATTAGGGCATATGGGCACAATAGTGACAGACATTCAAACAAATCTTCATATATGGGCCTGTTGTAATCAATATGCAATGTGTGTAAAGTTCCACAAAGTGGCTGAAATACATGTTGCTATTTTAGATGACCGGCTATTTTTTTGTGTTTTTACTGTAATATTTATGAAATGAAGGCAGATATTTTTGAGATATTTAGAACATTTTCGAGATATTTAGAAAAAAAATCGGGATTTCCGGAAATATATTCAGCCGATTTTTCCTGATATTTGTATCTAGGCTTAATTTCTGTTCACACATAATAATGGTGATTTCGGCGCGACTTCTGCGACGTAGCAAAGCTGCGCCGCGCCGATCTCAAAAGTGGATGGTTACATATCACATGGGTTTCTGCCGCTTTTCGCCGCATTGTGATCGGGTATTCGGGCCGTGGGACGTACAGAACCTGAAAGACAAGACGGAAAAAACGAGGACGCAGGTAGACGAGCTTGAAAAGAGTGTTGAGTTCCGTGAGGTGGACATAAGTGATATGCAAAAGGATCTTAAAAAAGTCCAGCATGAAGCAGAAGAGCTTAAAATGCAACTCCTATACCAGGAACATTACAGTAGAAGGGAGAATCTTATGTTTCTTGAATCCAGGAAAATGATGCGCCGATCGACGCCGAAAGCGAGACGGAGAATAATAACGTGGAGAATACAAAAGAGGTGATTTATAATTTTCTGCAGAAAGAGCTTGGCTTGGAGAATGTCGTAAGTAGATTCGAATTTCAGCGGATTCATCGAGTGGGGAAAAGATCAGGTAAGAAGCCCCGTCCTATCATTGCAAGATTTCTCCGATATTCCGATCGGGAAGAAGTCCTACTACGTGCAAAGACTTCACTCAAAGGGAAAGACTATGGTGTTTTTGAGGACATGCCGAAGGAACTTTACCAGCTAAGAAAGGCGCAAATGAAGAAACTTCAAAACGCAAAGCATAATGGCAGCACAGCCTTTTTCAGCAGAAAGTATCCGGACAAATTATTCATTGACGGTAACTACGTTCCTCGAAATTAATTTAGTACTGTTTTTCCTTCTTTCTTCCAATATTCATGGGGGCTAATATGGAAATTTTTGCTGTGGTAATTTTCATTGCATTTTGTAGCGCCTTGTCACCTAGTGCATGCTTTTTACAATAGTCAACGCCTTTTCTTTTGTCTTTGGCTGCAATTTGTAAAATTAACTGCTGAAGTTTTATGATTTAAAGCTCAAGGGTAATGGTGGTACTAAGGGAACTAGAAACTAGGAGTAATCGCTTTGCATCTTAAAAAATGTGTTTATGGCGGAGCTCCGACCAAATAGACGTCCGGATCGTACAAACAATTAGGAGCACTACCCAAAGGTCTTAGTTCGCACTAGCTCATAACTTTCCATTCCTAGTGAAAGAGCCTGTGTATGCTAGCAGTGTATTGTTTATGCTCTCTCTGGATTATGTCTTTGCATCTGTATTTTGTATTTGTATCTGTTTGCTTATGTTTGTTTGTTTGTCTTTTGTGTCAATGCCTATTTGTAGTTAATATACCATTATGCTTTATACATAAGAGTTCACGTCCTTTCTTAATTAATAGCTTTAGAAGTACACAATGCTGGGTTGTCCGTGGTTCCTTCTGCACTCCAAGCACTACACATTTAAGGTTAAAACTTCGCTTTAACCGTTAATTTGAAATTAGTTTCTTTAAACGTAAGGGGCATTAGCAACTTTACTAAACGTCGTACAATTTATACATGGTGTCGTAAACAGAAGGCTGATTTTGTATTTTTGCAAGAAACGCATTCAAAGAAGGAGACAGAGGTGCAGTGGAAAAATGAATGGGGTGGCGAAATACTTTTCTCACATGGAAGCCCCAATTCATGCGGTACTGCAATATTGATCAGAAACAATACCAATTATTCAGTTCTATCGACAACTCGAGATCCCCTGGGTCGTTTTATTATACTAAAAATCCAAATCGATGACAAAGTATATGTTCTTGTAAATATCTATGCACCGAACAAAGATAAGGATCTAATTCAGTTTTTTAGAAAATTACATGGCCTGCTTCAAATGGAAGACTTAGACTCAGAGGAAAACATTATATTAGGGGGTGATTTCAATTGTCCGTTAAATCCAGCTCTTGATAAACACGGTGGTGTCATGATTCCAAGAAGAGCAGCAATTGATAGTATTGAAACTTTACAAAGCGAACGGACTTAGTTGATACTTGGAGAATTAAGAACCGCCTCAAACAAGAAGTTATACTTGGAGTCAAAAATCTCCAACAGTTCTCTGTCGACTAGATTTTTGGCTTATCTCTAACAATCTCTGTGATTTTATAAACGCTACTGAAATACAGCCTGCAATACGCACAGATCATGCTGCAATAACTTTAGCTCTAGGAGACATTGGAGAGATAAAAGGTCCTGGTATATGGAAAATGAATGTTTCGCTCTTAGAGGATGAAAACTACCTAGAACAGTTACGAATTAATATACCCAAATGGAAACAAGAAGGTGAAATTGATCTGTCTGACAAACGCTGCGTTTGGGACTGGATCAAATACAATATTAGATTGCACGCCATTAGCTACTCCAAAGAAAAAGCCAAACTTAAATATGAGAAAGAGCAGCGGATTCAACAAGAACTTAAAGATGCTAACAGGCTGTTTGAAAATGACCCTAGTGCCTCAAATAGATTGCGATTAGATGAAATCAAAGAAAAATTAGAACTTTTATATGAGGAAAAAGTAAAAGGAATCGTCATACGGGCAAGAGCACGTTGGCATGAGTATGGTGAAAGGAGTACTAAATACTTTTTAAATCTAGAAAAGAGAAACCATGTCAAAAAACACATCCGAAAATTGTTAATAAGTGGTTCAATAACTACAGACCCGTATCGGATACTCGCCGAACAAAAACGATTTTATCAAAACCTATACAAAACTAAGGACTCTGTAGAGGCTACGGATTCCATAGAGGCATTTCTAAATAGTTTAAATATTCCTAAACTATCGGAAGAACAAAGGCAATCGTGTGAAGGACGAATTTCTACCGAGGAATGTAGGATAATTATAGAAACGTTTCAAAACAATAAATCGCCAGGGAATGATGGTCTCCCCATTGAATTTTACAAAAGCTGCTGGGATCTCATTAGTAAACCCTTCATAGATTGCGTCAATGAATCCTTTGATAAAGAAGAAATGTCTAATTCCCAAAGGCAGGC